ACCAGGAGAGGTTATATTCTCAAATTGGCCGGGAAACTACATAGAGGGTTTAGAGCTTTCTTGTCAAATAAGTTTCTTAGAGATGCAGATAAAATTTTTGTTGATGCAGAGCTTCCAAAGAAATATGCAGATTTGATTATAGCTGAAGAATGGGAAACTTTTAAATCCAAAAGAAATACCCAGAAATTTGAGATTTTAAGTGTCGTAAATCGACAACGAGCATCAAGTCCAGCATATCCATACAGAAAAGGGCGTATGGGATATGCACGCTTACAACAATTTATTGTAAGTATTTATAAATTGCAAAGTATCTATAATATATGAACACTTATATTTGATCATGTTATTTGGCTTAATGTGTAGCTAACAAAGGAGAATAGTTCTGAAACATCTCTTCCGGAACATATTTTGTGGAAGAAAGCTCGTGTGTGTAAGGATGGAGTTGTTAAAGAAAAAGTTCAAAAAATTTTCGAGAGATGTGTAAGTATAACATTATTTGAAAGTATCGGTTGATGTTGTTTTAGAGGGGGTGCATTGTTACCACTACATGACGATGTGGCGGATGCAACATTGGTGGCAGATGCAATACGATCATTTGTTGCATGGCCGTCAATGTTAGACTCCAACAAAATCCATTCCAAAAGATAAGGGGATTAGGCGGGAGACCGAGTCAATTGCATCAATTGAGGTACGACACAATTATATGACATTTATGCTATGAGAAATGCTAATTTGTGATTTTATACTTCCCCTAACTAATTATATGATAACTAGATTCATGCTAAAGAGATTGCACAAGTCAGTAGGGGTAAGGCGCCTGAAATTAGCAATATTTCCACATAAAAAAAGAATGTTTCTAAGAAGACCGTGGCTAGCAAAAAAAACTACTGCTCAGTTCAGGTCGTGCCTTTGGACATATTTAGGAATTACAGATATTCCGGATGGTGGTACCCGCCTTATACCTATGAGTGCAGACATCTTTTGTTTTGAATACCTGGAAGCAATTGGTAGAGAGAATATGGAGCAAGTTTTTAGACATTTGGAATTAGGCCTCGGTGTTATCGGTATATATATCAGGTATACTCCGATCAACTTTGTTTAATTAGATGAATAATTTATTTCCTCATTTCAATGAATATAGTATAATGTTAATGATGTTTTAATTTAAGGTTTATGTATGACCATATTGTGCGTCCGTGTGGATTAGAAGCAAGATTTGTCTTCTTAGCTCCCAACACTGTCAATTCAGGGTTAATTGTAACGAGACCAGATGATGTCATAGCATATGTACTTGGTTTGTTTGTGGCCAACAAAGATACTGAGAAGTTGTTCTTTTTGCCATATAATAATGGCAACGAGTTAGATTTTCATCCTAACTTGATCTATTATAATTTTCCGTTTTTGGCCATTGTTTAATCTTTGTTTAATCTTACAATGGACACTGGTTATTGGTTGCGATTAATCCTATGAGAGAAACTGTGTATTATCTAGATTCGTTATACAATGATTGGTCAACATATCCAGATTTGAAGCAGATGATTGACACGTATGTTTTTCGCTCCCAAAGAAATATCCAAGTTTATGTTTATGTTTATGTATATGGTCAACATATCTGGATTTGTGTTTATGTTTATGTTTCTATATGAGATTGTTCTAAATAGTCGTTTATATTTTATTATAGCGTTCTACTAGCTTTTCGCTCCCAAAGAGATATTCAAGTGCCAAAAAGTAGAGCCAACAACGTTACATGGATCAGAGTAGAGGTATATTTTCACAAAGAGATATTCAGTTTTGATTACATTAGTGATAATACTTGATAAAACAATTTAAGGGATATATCCTGATATATATTTGTATTTTCTTTCCATGTGTAGTGTCCTCACCAGCGTAACGGTATAGATTACAACTATTTTATGTTGAGGTTTATGAAAGAAACTATACTTTTGGATCCATTAGAGATTCCATCCACGGTATGAATTTCTAACTTAGGAATTACATACTATTTTCATATTTTGTGTTTCTCATAAAATGACATATTGTTTTAACTAAATCACATACTATGTTATATTATTATATATGTAGTACTTTGAGTAATTCAATTGTGCACATTACTCAAAAGATCAATTGGATGAACTTATGGAGGAATGGTGTCAATTCATATCGGGTTGAGAATTTTATAAGCTAAGGTATATTGTCTTATTTCCTTTGATGAGAACTTTTGAGTTTTGAGTATAAATTAAATTCGAATAAAGTGCAACATTAATATTATCATGTTATGAATTTCGATCATTTAGTTTTTTTTCCAAGTTTATAGGTGCATGTGAAGAAGATAGAGCTAAGATATTCATGTTGTTGTTGTTTCATGAGAATTCTCGAAGATAGTAAGATGTACAGATGTAACATCAATTTTGAATTTTAGGATTTTTAACTTGTAGAATTTTAACTTGTATCATAAATTTTGTAGTTGTTGTTGTATATATCATCAATTTATATATATGTGTAATTTTTATATATGCATGTTTTATTGGAATGGAGCTACCAAATATGGTGCATAATATGGTAAAAACCTGGTTCAAATATGGTTAAAATTTTGATTACAATGCATTATATATATATTGGACAGCGCTTTTGCAAGTCAAAATAGGTATTTTATTTTAAAAATATTGTGACCAATAGACAGCGCTTTAAGAGAAAAGTGCTGTAAAAACTCAAAAATAAGCGCTGCCTAAAGTTGGAAAGCATTGTCTAAAGTGGGGGAATAGACAGCGCTTTTAAAGGAAAGCGATGTCTAAAGCCTAACTTAAAAAATAATAAAGTATTGTCTAAAGCAAAAGCGTTGCTAAAGGGGTATATAAAAAAGTGCTGTCTAAAGTGGGCATAAAAAAGCTCTTTTACATTGAAAAACAGCGCTGTCTTTTCTTTTAGCAGCGCTGCTTTAGGCAGCATTGTTAAAAGCCTAAAAAAGCGTTGTCTTTTCCCTTATTTGTAGTAGTGCCAGCGCGATTTTTCCAGAAACTTACTCGCTTTTTGGCTCCTTTTTTAGCCAAATTTCTCTAAGGCCCTACTTCATACTTTGTCTTTTTTGCATGATTCTTTGGCCATTATTAATTCCTCAAATTTGATCATCTCTAATTTGTTTCTCTTAACTTCTTCGACAAAATACATGCAATGACAGAGTGTCATCAATAATCAGTTAACTAGGTACCAAGGTCACACATCATGAGCTATGGAGGGAAAGAAAGCCAGATATAAAATACTTTCATGTGTTCATCATTAGGGATGTTGAAATCCAAATCGATTAAAATAAAACTAAAAGTCGATTTGAAAAAACTAAAAACCACAAAAAATTAAATATTATTTAATTTGGTTTGATGTCATTTGAAAAAAACTTGCCTTGTTCAGATCTGATTTAAGATTGATTTAAAAAACAAACTCAAACTAAATTGAACCACATACATATATTTTTAAAATTATTTATTATTTATTTATTTTTATTAATATTATATGTTGTGTTATTTTATTATTCAATATTACTTATTTTTTTTAATTTTTATCTATTTATTTTTATTATTTAATTTGTGTTAACCATAATTTATGATTCTAAATTTGTAATATACTATATATTATTTAAAATCTATTATATATGGGCATTATTATAATCTTAATAAAAATATAATTTTTATTTTGGCCATAAATCAATCTAAAATAAGGTGAAAGTGTCTGAAGTTTTTAAATTATATTACACTGCAACTAAGATTACAAATTAACAAGTCAATTAACAATTTAGCAAATCGGTGGCTAGATCTAACTATATCTAAGCTTATTGAATAAAACTGTTCCAAGCTCTAATTGTAATCCTATAAAATGCAATATACTTATTGTATACTTGTTCACCATCCATAGTCCTTGAGGGGCACCTTTAGTATTTAATCACTGGTAAAAAAATATAAATTTACAGCGGTTTTTTTAATAAAATTTACACCTGTTATTGTAGGGTGTATATTTATCGGAGAGAAATGTCTGACAAATTTACATCCGTTTAAAAATGGATGTAAATACATATTAATTTATACTTTTTTTTAAATGATATGTTATTTATTAAATTGCCACCATATTTTTTATTTACATCCATTTTTAGTATATTGGATGTAAATTTATAAATTATATTGTTGTTTTATACTAGTGAATGAGGTTTCGTAATAAACTATTGTCTTCCAATAGTTATGAAAAACTTATAGTGTATATTTGTTCAATTTCGATATCGACGAGAAATACATATCTAATCTACTAGAATTCCTAAATTTCTAGAATCCTGAATTCCAATAGGCTCCCTGGACTGGTTTTTGAGATGCGTTGTATTTCAATCTTTATCACAAATTTTTTTATCAGAAAAAAAGAGCTGTTATCAAAATAAAAAGTGTTGTAACAAGTTAGTATCTTAGACTGCACTTTTCTGCAGAGTATTGTAACAAGTTTGATAATGATCTTATTCAAAGCTTATCTAAGAGCTAGTTTTTTTTTATATCACTTTTTAGATATACAAGCATTGTTAAAAGAGTGCTATTATTTCATCGTAATAGTACAAAGGGTATATGTTAAAGTGGTTTTGTGTATACATTTTTTTTAAAACTAATGGAAACTTGAGTATAAAGGGTTAAATATGAAGCGAGACAAGAGGCAAGTATATATAGTTCATGAAAACAATAATATTTGATTCTTATTGATAACTCAGTACACAGTACATATAGTTCATGACACATACAAAAGAAGCAATTCAAGTCTCACAACACAGACATAATAATTAAAGAAAGAAAACAGTGAGAAAAGTGTAATAAAGAAACACATAAGCATTAAAAGAAGCACACAATGATCAGAGGTCTTATTTAGATTATGCGACATACTATACATAGCATGACTCATAAGGCCCTGCTATTAATTATAGTATGTATGACCCGTGAAATAAACACAAAGTACTAGCTGGGTAGGAAGCTAGTAAGTAGTCACTCTTTAGTGTAGAGCTTTTGAAGCTCTGCCTCTAGAGAATATGTGGGGGCTGAGGCTTCACCATTCCAAACAAAAACTCCAGCAAGTGATGCACGTTCAATGAGGATTCTGCATCCATCAATACAGGCTTGTTGACTCGTTGGAGTTGGAGTACTTGTATCACTGCTGAATCCAGCCACGAGTTTAAACGCCGCATCATAATCATTAACTAGATTATTAAAGAAGTTTATAAATTCATTTTCTGAGGGAAAATACTGATTGTAGAACTTGTAGTTAATCCAATCAATATTGTCTGGCTTGTTAGTGTACAATGCGAGGTATTGGAGGTTGACAAGGTCTGTGGGAGAAATGGACACCACCTTCATGGAGTTGGAAACATCGGGATCATCCTTAAGGCGTTGTATGACTTGCCCTATGAAAGTGCTAAATTGATTCATCTTACCGAAACTGTTATTGATGTATTCATAATTAATATCAATACCATCAATTACGTTATCGTCGCTGACACGTGGAGTATATTTCTCGTAGTCTTGGATGAGCTCTTTGATTGATGTTACGGCATTATCAATCCAACTACTGTCATCCTGAGGATTGAATGGAAATTCAGCACCTTTGCCTCCTATGCTTATTACCACTTTCACGTTCTTATGCTTTTTCTTGAGTTTGGCCACTTTTGTTGGGCTAAAGTCATCAAAGTTCCAAGCGCGCTTGAAGAATCCTGTACCTGCTCCATCAACATAAGTGTCATTGGCAAATCCCAGAATGAAGTGGAATTTTGGGATGTCATCGTCAATGATCTCAGATGGAAAACCATTTACATTTTTTCCAAAACCATCATTTATTCCAATATACTCTTGGAAAGTGGTAGGCCTCACAACGGCATTGATAACAGGTTGAGTAATGTTAGGCTTCACAACGGCTTCGATATCAGATTGAAACATTGTGACTTTAATTGTTTTTTTGCAATGAGATTTGATTGGGTGTGCTTGGAATGACCAACTTCTGATGCCCTTTTATAAGCCTATTCTATCGCTATGCAACATAAACTACTACTAGTAGTATTTAACAACACGTCAAAACCATAACCAAAGTATATGAATAACTCATGTAATATTCTAATAATGACATGTGCTTAAATGTGCATTCCAAACACTTCAAAATAAAGTATGCATACACTTGCCTATTCTTTTTTGTTTGACAAATTTTATTCTAATTAATTAAGTTACAAGGAAGCTTCATCAAATTAAAAATACTATATACGTCACCATTCCCTTATAAATGTTCACACTATGATTGTTAGGGTTTCATAAAATTAAAAAGAAAAAAAAAAACAAACAGATTTTAATTGGTACGAGTTTTTAGTAGTGGAGTTTCTTCTTTTAATTAAAAGTAGATATAAAAACCCAATTCCAAGCATAACGTGTCTCAAGAATTAAAAAAATACTTTATAATTCACGAATTTAAAGACGAAACACCCTATAACTACTAAATATCAAATGATTCCGAGATCAAATCATGATATGATAATTCATGCTCCAATAAGACCTAAACACTTAAAAGTAGATATAAAAACCCAATTCCAAGCATAACGTGTCTCAAGAATTAAAAAAATACTTTATAATTCACGAATTTAGAGACGAAACACCCTATAACTACTAAATACCAAATGATTCCGAGATCAAATCATGATATGATAATTCATGCTCCAATAAGACCTAAACACTTAAAAGTAGATATAAAAACCCAATTCCAAGCATAACGTGTCTCAAGAATTAAAAAGATACTTTATAATTCACGAATTTAAAGACGAAACACCCTACAACTACTAAATACCAAATGATTCCGAGATCAAATCATGATATGATAATTCATGCTCCAATAAGATCAAATCATCTAATACCTCGATATTTTTCAATCGAGAGAAAATGTTACTCATAATTTTAATTAGTTAATATAGAACTCAACTATATCCTCGGAATTTATTGTCCAACAAAATCTAAACTCCAAACAATACTTTATTTCAATAAGAGGATGTTAACTCTCATTCACTTTTATATTTTTTATAAACTTTTGGTGCACTACCGAAGATAGTACTTTCTTCATCTCCTTCTCCTAACAAATGAAATACCATATTTCATCTTTCCCACTGAAACCTAAACCAAATTCCATCTTCTTAGTAGAACGAAGTAAACAAAGGAGGAAAGAAACTCATCGTTTTTCTAGAACTCAAATCAACATATTTCTGACTCTTTCGTCGTTTCTCCAGAATTCAAATCAACACATTTCTTTGACTATACCAGTAATGTTGTTATTGTTCTTATTGTTGTTGTTGTTTTTGTTGTTTTTGTAGTATTTGTAGTTGTTATGTTGATAGTGAACATTTAGTGTTATTGTTGTTTTTTTGAGATGAAATATTCATTTTTGTTGACATATTTTCCCTAAATATGTCACACTCTATTTAAAAAAGAAAAAAAAAAGTTTTTACGATTGTTTGTAGGATATCAAAATTCTCAAAGGGTACTCACCAAAAGAAGAAAAAAAACTTTGGTCACTCAAAGATCTCAAATTAATTGACTTAAAATATATGTATTGTCATGTATTTATTCAACAATTTCTACTGGTGGTTATCTCTGATATTTTATCAAAAAGTGTAAGGGTAACTATAATCATATTGAGCTTTTTCTTCAATATTATTTATAGTAAAGTCATTGGTCCTGAAAATTTAGATGAGTTAGAATATGAAGCTACAATTATCTCGGGTCAATTAGAGATGTATTTTCTTCTATTAGTTTTTGAAACTATAGTTCACTTTATTGTTCATCTAGTAGGAGAGATTAGATTTTGTGGTCTAGTTTATTTAAATTTGATGTATTCGGTAGAGTGATACATGAAAAGTTTTAACGAATATATGAAAAATCATCATTGTTCAAAAGTTTTGATCGTTGAACGATACATCACAAAAAAATTATTGAATTATGTTCAAACTATTTGTCAAAATCAAACTCTATAGAAATTCTAAATCTTATCATGATGAAAGATATGGAAGTAGTGATTCTCAAGATTTAAATATTAAAACAATTAATCGAGATGAGATGCAGTACTTCAAATATATTTATATATATTGAATAAAGTCTATGAAAAACGAATGAATTTATTTATTTAAAAAAATTATTTAGAATAGTAAAGTAATTTAAACTACTATAATAAATTATAATGAAAGGACACTATAATTAAAAATTACCAACCATAAAAAGTTAACTCAAATTAATTACATACATAATTTGATTGATAGATTTAAATTATAAAAACAATATTATAATTTAGAAAATGAAATTCAAAGAAACAAAACAGTCCCTTGACCTACGTTAATGTCATTAGTAAATATCATGATATATCATTTTCCGTAATTTTATATCACATAAATAATAGTATGCATTTTGATAAGAAATATCCGAACTTGAAAATTGTCCATAAAAAAATGCTCCTCCGTCTCACAATATGTATTTTTTTTGTTGAGATTTTTACACTTTTTAAGACAATGATTAATTATATTTATTTTAATGATAAATTGTGATCGTAGCTGACCAGAATGGACCGTTATAGCTTACGTCGACAAAACTTGAGAGTGAGGTGGAGGAGTACCTGCAAGACACTCTGATGCCAAAATGAGATACATAATGATGTAAGCAAGTAAGAGAGTGAAAAAATTTCAATACCTGACCCTCTCAAGAGAGATGGTATTTATAGCCCCCAACGTTGGGTCAGGGTCTCCTCATTGGGATGGTCAAGCAGGCCCAAAATGGAGACTGACAGGTCCTACGTGAGTAGTGGGAACCAGCATGTGATCCCCCACCTGGATGACTTCCTCCGTATGATCCGGAGGATATGGATGCGGTCTTTTCGGGGCCTCGAAGACTCTGTGATATTCAGAGACATTGATAGTCAGCTCTATAAGGAGGATGCTTGTGGGGTGCTTCTGCTCATCGTGGATGCTCCCTGCCAGATGCGAGATCGTCTGGGAGGATCAGTCTTAAGTATATTAAAGTCCACTCTAAACTTATTGTCGTTAGTAAAAAGAAGAGGTGAAAATTTCGAATCAAATACCCATTTCAGGTTGGCCCATTTTTATTTTAGGAATAGCAAAGAATAGGGGGTACAATTATAAAAAAACAGGCTCATTAAACAAATTCTAGATTAGCCCATTTGATACTTTGTTGTTTTAAGGAAAAATTATTAAAAATTGTGTGTTATTATTTCAATAAATAAAAATATAATAAAGATAATAAATAATATTTGTTTCTTTAAAAGAATGTGATTTTTGCTGATAAACTGTTTATAATAATGTTTTATTATTAAAAAGGATGTTAGATTAAACATTATTTATTCCAGTTATCAAAGATGCTTGTTAGAAAAATATATAACACGTTTGCTGTGAAATAGAGTTGATGGGCAGAAGAAAGATTAAGTATGCAGGCCCAAAGTCACAAACTGGCACTGTTTGAATCAAGTAGAAAACGTGGAGATAAAACACTTATTGTACAGATTTTGATACCAAATCAAATCTCTTCACATAATTAATAAATAAAATCCTTATCTAATAAACAGAATCAAGAACTACAACAGAAAAAAATCAGTGAATTAAATTGTAGTAAACCAAATCAAATCTTCCAAATCAAATCTTCATTAAAAATTATGCAAATATCCAAAGATCAAGGCCTAGAATTTCTTAAGGTTATACAAAACAAAAATATGTACATTCAATCTTCATTACAACAAATTGATTACAGAACCAGTTCAAATCTAAACGAATTAATCCCCAATACAGTACAAAATCAAATCTCAGAATCATTTCTTAATGTAACACAAAATCTGGAAAAATCTTTACAAAATCTCATTACATTAATATTACAAGACTACAGAAAATCCACATCTCGTATCTTACAAAATCCAATCGCGAATTATAAAAAAAACTAAATCAATCATAGTATTAAAACCTAATCCCTAATTGAAGCTAACTGTAACGACAAATCCTAAATCCCTAACTATATAAGAGAAAAGAGGAAGGCAGAAACTGGGGATTCGGAGAAAAGGGGAGAAAATTTGGAGACAGAAACCTTGAAATGAACCCTCGCGTTGAAGATCCGGAGGAATCACCCTTGAACCACCATTGTTCGCCTCGCTCCTCCTCCGTCATCCATTACCATCGTCTTCAACCATCATCAGGACCTGCGAAACAAAGAGGAACAAGGGATCAGATCACCACGAGAAACGCAAAAGATTCAGAAAAGAAAATCGCACAGAGGGTAAATACGCTTAGCTTTTTGATGTTCTTGTATTTGGGTTGTGGAGGGTTTTGATTTGAGGTGGAAAAGGGAAGCAAAGGCGATAAGTGTCTCCGCGGTGTTAATTTATGTTAGGGTTTGAAAAGGGCGAGGGTGGTAACTAGGTTAACAAGGGAGAAAGAATAGAAAGGGTAAGGTTATTCTGGAAAATTATAGTAACTATGAGACAAAATGAATGAAATAATGTAGAACGACCTTTATTATGCTAACGATCCAGTACGCGCGCGTGTATCATAATCACCATGCATTCTTCCATCTCAACTGTGTGATCGTAGTTGGACGACCATAAGGCCAGGTTCACAGTAAGTCTCATACTCCCTCATACACTTGATCCACCTGGCCCCTTTCCAAACGCGTTGGGCTTAGGCCCGCTGTTATTCACACCCCCCCTTTACCCTTGTTGAATAAGCTGTGAAGCAATTTGCACCCCCCCTGCCTGGACCGTTCTGGACCTAACTCAGCTTACTACTATCACCCCCCTTATTTACTGGTCAACTAGAAATACCCCCCCCCCCCCAGATTTACTTAAATTATTATTATTTTTTTATTATTTCTTTTATACTATACTTTATTAATTATTTATTTCTTTTTTTATTTAT